TTCAAAGATCAACTTTTACTACATGCCCTGGAGGACATAGCATACGTTCCTGAAACTTTATTTTTTTCTTATAGCTGTTAAAGATACGTACTTCCCCTGGTTCCAAGGGATAATGTTCCATTTGCCTTGGGTATGGCATTTTTTTTTTTTTTAATTTCAAGGCTGATTTTTGTTTCCGGTTTATTCATCTTTTCATGAGGAGAGTTTGGTTAGACACTGCATTTGCTGACAGAGTGTATCCTCCTCAGGCCTCCTCTAAGGCCTTGGAATGGTTGATCTGCCCTAATCTAGTATTCTGATCTCTAGGAAACTTAAATATTTGTTTAAATTATGAAATACATCATACACGTAAAAGGATGTGTAAATAAGTTATAAAGTATAAACAGACACCTAGGAAGCTCTCTAGCCTTGACTTCCATGCTGTAAGTAATGGGACTACCCACTGTGCCACTCCATGTCCTCTCCTGTGCGCTGTGGTTTAGGAATTATCATACGGAGAAAGAAGGGCAGTGAGGATCAGAGAAAAGACAGGAAGGTTGATTTTTCTTTTGCTACGTAAGAAAATAGTACCCGAGGAGTAGAACAACTTCTCCATTTTTTCCTGGTTGAGATAGATACTGCATCTAAAAAACAAGGGTATGTTGTGTCTGTCCACTTTATGCCCATTGTCTGCGGAAGCATGCTCTTAATCCAGATTAATCTGACCAGAATTCAGAAGAAATTCTGCTTTGATGCTTGCAAATGACCAGGTGATGGAGGTTAATCCTTGCTTTTCAGAATTGTTTTGAAATAGAAACTCCATGTCCAATACAGGGAATCTACTGCGTCTCTCTCTGTGCTGCTTCTAGTATTTGTAAAATGGGAAAGCAGGGGGAAAGTCATAGCGGAGGTTTACATTCACTGCTACTTGTCGCGTCCATTGTGCCAACATAGAAAATAAAACTAAGACCAGGAAAATGTAGTTTGAGGATGAAAGCAGTATCTGGGACATCGAACCAAGAGTGCGTACTGGCCTCCAGACAGGAGAAAGCACAAAGCGTGCTCTCTCGGAGAAAAGCTCGTTTTCTCTAGGAAAACCTGCTAAGGAGATCATACGGTAACTAGACTTTTAATTCTAAATTTAAAAATTCTTATCAGATTTGTTTTGTTCAAAATTATTTGAACCAGTTAAGAAAAAGGAAAATTGCCTCTTTCACATCATTCTAAATGTTAGGTTAAAATCTGCAAGACGTGCTTACAAAACTTTTTAATTAAGTCACTGATATGTTTGTATTTTGTCTTGTCTATTTTTCATCTTGGTAACATCAAAATAGAAACAAGAGACAACTGAAAGTCAAGTACAGAAATATTTTAGCGACCATGGACCCTTCTAGGGGCCACTATGAAAAATAAGAATCTATTTCCAATAGTACTTTTCACAAACTATGCGTTGTTTCAATGCAAATGGCTAAAGATAAAGTAGACATACCACACTGGCTTGACAGAAGTAATCAAGAGGATAGGAAATAGGTGTACGTTTAACAATTTTAGAAATTTAGAAAAGACGACTCCAGATACAAATTCAATGTCTTTGTTGTTATTTCTTTTAGGCAGAATTCTTCTCAAAAGATGTCTTATGGCAAGATTTCATTCTTTTTCATGACAGAGTAATATTCCACTGTTATAAATGTACCACATTTTCTTTATCCAGTTGTCTATTGATGGGTACTGAGCTTGCTTCCATATGGGTATTGTAAATAATGCTGCGGTAAACATAAGGGTGCATATATCTTTCAAATTAGAAAATTGGATTTTTTTAAAAATAAATATCCAGGAGTAGAATTGCTGGGTCATGTTAGCTCTATTTTTAATTTTTTGAGAAACCTCCACACTATTTTCCATAGTGGCTACACCCATTTACATTCCCACCAATAGTACATGAGGGTTACCTTTTCTGAATATCCTCAACACTCATTTGTTGATTTACTGATATTCTGATAGGTGTGAGGTGGTATCTCCTTGTGGTTTTAATTTGCATTTCCCTGATGAGTAGTGATGTTGAGCATCTTTTCATATATTTATTGGCCATCTGTATGTCCTCTTTGGAGAAATTCCTTTTTAGGTCCTCTGCCCATTTTTAAATTTGGATTTTATTTTATTTTATTTTATTTTATTTTGGTGTTAAGTTGTAACACCAAAGATATATCCTTGTATCTTTTGGATATTAACCCTTTATTAGATATATCATTGGTAAATATATTTTCCCATTCAGTAGATTTTTTGTTTTGTTACTAGTTTCTTTTGCTGTGCAAAAACTTTTAAGTGACCCATTTTCATTCTTTTGCATGTATCTGTCCAGTTTTCCCAATACCATTTATTGAAAAGACTGTCTTTACTCCACTGTATATTCTTGCCTCCTTTGTTATTTTTATGCACATGGGTTTATTTCTGCGCTCTCTATTCTGTTCCACTTATCTACATGCCTGTTTTAAAGTCAGTAAAAATAAAGACAGTCATGTTTATATAAATATGAAAAATAATTAAGTTTGCTTTTATAAATAATACTCCCATAATTCTGATATGTTGCTTCCAGAGACGGGTGTGGACAGCTGGAATGTTGAGACTCCTGGTTGATAGTTACTGAAGTAGATACCCACCTTTTGCTTAATATTTTTGTTTTTTAAAATGTCTCATTTGAACAAAACTAAATGTATCACAGTTATTATTCAAATTTAACATATGAATTAAAACTTTTGTCTAAGTCCATATGAAATTTGACATATTAAGTTTAATGTTAAAATGTATCTGGCCTCTACACATTGCTTTCCCATTTTTTTCTCTTGCTTTCTACCCATTCATGAACACCTACTTTTAATAATTATTTACAATATTTCTCACCCGGTAATAGAATTTAGTTAGGTATTAATCATTAACCAACCTTAACTGCTGTGATTCAGTTTGTGCTGCTAGAAGACTGTGGCAGAAAGTTGTGATTTCCTTGTAACCTGAGCTGGGAAGGGGACGCAGAGCATAGCAGGGTAATAAAAAGTGACATATTGGTGTCACATCGGAGATTATCTTTTTCCAGACTCACTTAGCCTTTTTATGTATAAAGACATACAGGGTTGTGTGTTTTTTTCAAACTTGACTGTGCAAGAAATGCCCATTTTAGAGACATCTGAATGCCCATTCAGAGACATCTGAATGAAGCCGAGCCCGCTTCAAGCCCCACCTGTGTGGTGGGTGGGAAGGTAAGTGTGCCATCCTGGTGTTTCGCGCCCTCTCACAGAACGACCCTGTCAAGGTCCTCAAGCCGAGAGAGCATTCAGAGAAGTCTCCCGTCCACACCAGTTACCATGACTACTGTCCAAACCACCATGGCCCTTTGTCATCGGGATACTTTGCGGCACTTTTGGGGATAGGAATCTGGCCGGGAGCCCCCGCGGCTGGGATCCAGCTCTTCTGCGTGTACCACACGTGCTCCCTTCTCAGGTTTAACCATCCCACAGAGGCGCCCCGAGGAGAAAGGCGCAGGTCTCCATCTCTTAGGAAACCCACGGCCTTTCGTCCCTTTGCAAGTACTGAATAATCTTCTTGTCGCTCTGGCTCTGTCACTTCGGCTTCTCTTTTACCTGCTAAAGGCCTCTGTTTATCTTTCCCCTCAGCTCACAACCTAGTGCCCTCCTTAAAATGAAACCTTCCAAGGAATGTTGTCTCCAGGGGATCTGGCACCAAAACCCTCCTGAGGTAGGGGAACCCAAAGACTTGTCCACCTTCCTTGAACCAGGAGTGGGTAAAACCAGGAGAGCAAAACTCAAATGAGTATCACAATAGATTCTCCTGTATAATATTTGACACATGGAATACTTAACATGATGATGATGTTATAAAGGAATAGGAAAGTTCTTTATGTCTTTACATGTATTGGAAAGTTTAAAAAATATCTTTGTCATTCCCTAATGTGTTGTCATATAAATTTGATATCAATATTACCATCCGCCACAGAGTTAACCTTTCAAGTGAACAAAGTCAGCCCATCCTTCATCTCCTTTTCTCAATTCTGATCTTGCAGCAGGCATAGGAGAGAGGCCCGAATTCTTCCTCTAAGCCATGGAGGGCAGCAGTGGACATTTCTTCCATAGATAGAGTGGTGGTTTCTAACCTGCATCCCCAAGGAGGACAAGATGCAGGAGGGAAAGTGAGACCAAATGTGCAGTATTCCAGGGCCCCCAGCCCCATTTCAATCATGCCAGTTGTGTCTTTTCACCTTCTTTATGAATTAAATTCCAGGTAAATTTCTTTTGAATGAAGGATTTCATTGTTTTAAAATTTTGGAAGTCATTGAAGGATCTATACAAGTATATGCCTACAACATTTGAAATTTTGAGTTAAAGGTCTTCCTTTCTCAATAGTGTAATTCCGTAGTATAGAAATGAAACTGCCTGTTAAAAATCATTTACATGTGAAAATCCCCAAATGACAGGCCAAATTTGGGGGATAGTATGATTTATTGAGACTCTCAGTTCTTCTGGGAAAGGGATATCCATCATGGAGGGTTGCTGATACAAACCTTGCTGCTTGCTACACTGAAATGTTGGGTTCTCAGTCAGTTGCCATCGCTCATCTGTTCACTATACAGAACAAAGTAGTTCACAGATGCATTAAGGCGCGCCAACCCAAGTACTGAACCATGTTCTCACTTAGTCAGAATCTAAAAATTTAACTCTTTTTTGATACTATTTTGGGGTTATACTAATCATATATGTTTATATCTAACTACTGGTTCTTTTTGAGTAATTAAAATTACTCAACTTTAATAATACTTATTATTTGGAAGGTTTTATTTATTTTTTATTTTTTGGAAGGTTTTAGAATTCAAATCAGATAACAGTACCTAAAAATACTTTCTAAATGGTTAACTTTATTATTTTATGTCTAGCCCAGCCAAATAACATGTAAGCTATAACATTCATTAGAATTAGTTTCCATGAGACAAGTTTAAATTAAATACTCGTATTAAATATTTTATAATGACATTTTTATTTTAGATACTAATTTTTGCATTAGTGAAAAACAGCTGAGTAAAACTATTTCAGTGTCATTTTTAGTAATCTGTATAATGTAGCTTTCAGAACAGAGTTCCTTTTCTTACTACTCTGCTACTATTACCCTACTACATAAGAATATGTAGTGTCTATAATGCAGTCTATATATTATCATTTCTATTAGTATCGAATACTAAAATTAGAATATTCAAGTTTAGAGATGGTTTTTTCATTAGAAAAATCCGTGCGGTCAATGCGAGAACTGGGACTTCCAACCTTGCTCAGCCAGGACTTCCTACAAAAAATAAACAAAAATTAGCATGTAAAGTATATATAGACTAGCTAAAATGATCCCACAATGGGAGTTTATATGCAAAAGTAACTCAGTAAAAGTAATGTAAAATATAAATTTTTCAAAATTTTAATAAATTTTAGAGAACATAAAGTATCAGAATACCATCAAATTTAATATATAATTAAATATGGACAAAGAAAAGCTAATAACAAATTAAGCACAGTCAACCACTGAGATCTCATATTGAGGTTATTTCCCCCCTTTAAAAATATCCAAGGCCATTACTACCTAGCTGTTGAGCTATACACAAGAGTTAAAGTGTTTTTTCTCATTACCCAGCACATGGTAGGTGACATATATAAATATATATATAGGGGAGGGAGTGGACGAAAGTGAAGGAAGGTAGGAGAATGGATAAAAGAATAAATGTGACTTTCCATGAACATTAAAATTAGATGAACATTGTTTCTTATCCAAAAACCATCTCTTACCATATGTATTAGCAAACCATATATATTAAAGGGCCAAGTTAAATGTGAAATTAGCGATATCCTTGTCTAATTTATGCATTGTGTACTTACCCAAGATGCTTCCTATATAATTAAGGCTTATTGCAATGTAGTTGATAACTCAGATACTACTGTTAATAGGTAGAAAGTTTCTAGTAAATTCTTAATAATTAGTTGGGATGATAGAGTGAGTGGGACTGCAGGTTAATAATATGAGGCCACTTATCCCAGCTTTTGTAAAAACACTCCATGACTTTCCTCATATCCCCAAAATTCTTTCAGGTTGTGAAACTAGAGCTGTGTACAGCTGAGAATAGCATATTAACATCTTATATAACCATGCATTTAAAATATTTTCTAGGATCAAGTTGTCTGATTAGCTGAAAATTACTGCTAGGTAAGAGAAGATTTCTAATGTTCCAAATTGCCACTGTGCTATGTAACATTTTCTTTGGTTCTTATCTGTGACAGTTTTACTGGGAAAGGTGACTTTTCTTCTTTTTCAGAAGCTAAGCCATGAGCACAGTAGCACATTTTATTTTCTTCAATTCATTTAATTGAAATCTTAAAATGGAAATTGCATGTGTCTAAGAATAAAATTTAGTTTTTATGAAAAGGAGCTGATAACTTCAATTTTACAAGTCCAGTCTCCTCTTGAAACCTTCTAGAAAAGAAAAGCCAGAAATAATAGAAGCTAACATTTATTGTGCATTGACTGCTCAGCAGTATGCTAAGTTCTTTACATATTCCATTTCCTTTAGCCCACCCATGGTATTAGGGTTATTTGTTTTAAAAACTAGTTGGATAGTTGTCATCTCCTGGAATGGAGAGGCTGTGAGAAGAGAAGATTTGGGGGAAGAGTGGGAGTTCAGTTTTGGAATGGAAGTCTGAGATGTCTTTTAGCTGAATGAGATGTTGAGTATGCAACTGGATCTATGAGTCTGGCTGGAGAAGATAAAATTTGGAATTTGTCTGCAAATAGAATTGAAAGCCATAAGATTGGATGGGATCGCCAAGAAAATGAATATGAGTAGAAAAAGGAAGCAGCCTGAGGACTGCACCTTAGGTATATTCAGTGGTTAGAGCTCAGAAAGAACCATTCAGTGAGGTAGGAGAAAAGCTGGGACAGCATCGTGTCCTGAGAGTCAAATGAAGCATCTGGGAACAGTGAATTGTGAGGTGGGTCAATGCTGCTTGCAGTTCAAATAAGGTGAGGACTGAGAATTGACCACTGCATTTAGCAACCCAGAGGAGGTCATTATTGCCTTGACCAGAGCAGTTTTGGTGGATTGAAAGCCATACTTGAATGGGCTCAAGAGAATGAAGAGAGGAAATGGAACCAGTAATGGATAAAGGGCATAGGGGCTGCAATGGACTAATCCATTTGAGCTGATAACTCAATGTATTTAACTAGCTGAGAGCCTGTCTACCTACCTAGCGGGTCTTTGACATCACCAAAGCTTCACCAGTCAGACCTATGACCAAGGCGGAATCTATGCCACTGTTGGGGGCAGAATGGTCGTGCTGTTAGGTGATTCGGCTCCACTTACACTGTGTGTGTTTGTGTGCATGTGCTCATGCCACTTGGTGCTATGGCTCCACACTTGCCACCCCTGGTGCTAGAAACCACCTTGCCTGACCTGCCTACTCACTTTGGTATTCTGGTCACCAGTCACTTGGCAAGTCCTAGGACCCCAGTCTCATGTGCTGCTCTTAATGGGTGTGGCTCAGGTCTAGAGAGGGCAGAACAGTTTTTCAAAGCAAAAAATAACATCACAAATTTTCACATACATTTATATCTAATTAGTGAGGACTGGATATGTACACAAACAGTACCAGTTAATTCAATTACATAAATATTTAGCACTGAATGCAAGGCATATTCTAGATACTGGAGTACATACATAGATTTTCAAAGTGGGGTTTCTTCCCTTGGTTACTTACAATCTACTAGAAGACTTTGGAGGATAATAAAAATAACTAATAATAAGGCAGGATGTGATGTGCAATGTGATTTTTATATAAAGGGAGAGAGGAGTTGGGGGGCTAACTTCTGATCAGGGACATCTCTGTGATAGCAAAGGCATTTGAGCCAAGTTTTAAAGAAAATACTATTGAATTTTTCAAATCTTAGAATGGAAATTATAATTCAATTATGACAGGAAACCAATAAACACAGGAAGAGTACTGATAACATTAACTAATTAAAAAATGTAAAACTTTTAAATGGTCTTTATTTAGATTTTGTGCTTTGCTTAATTCAGGTCCTGTATATTTCTTGTTAAGTTTATGCTTAGACATATTCTATTCTATTTTTCTTGCTGTTTTGAACAAGATGCTTCTTAATCATAATGTTCTTAAACTGGTACATAAAGGAACTAGTGATCTCTTATATTGTAAACAGATGCCTTACTGAACTTCCCTGGTGATAGAAGTTTTTCTTTTCTTTGGGGTTCCCAGGTAAACCGCTTTTTGTATTTTTCCTGAATTCATCCTGTCAGTCCGTTGGTATCACATTGACTAATTTCAAATTGCTCTTTATTTTAGGCCATCTAACCACATGTTGGCTATTTACATGCCCCCCAGAAAATTGCCACAGTAACTATGCAGAGAAAGAACATTAGCAGCATTCACCCAGCCCGGGGGCCAGCCCGCAGGGCCGTAATACACCACTCTGGCTCCAGCATGTTCTACCTATAGGTTTAGTGGACTCAATAAATATTGAATGGATGGCTGAATAGATGGGTGAATCAGACTTGCTCGGAAGAGACTGAGGTCTAGTATTTCTACTGTAAATCTGAATCTGCTTTGTCTGCATATATCTTTCAGATATTTTTATTTAAGAAACACGACCCACTGACTGGCTTTAAAAGAACAAAAAAATAAGAAAGCTCAACTAATAAAAATCAAAGAATAGCAATGTAAGTTGGAAAATTCTATTGACAGAAGTCTTATTACTTAATAACTATGTTCTCTCTTTAATATATTTTAAATGTTATGTAGAGATTTTAAAAATTAAACCAATTTTTAGAAAGTCTATTTTATTCCTTTACCACTTGTACAGTAATAATATAAGGACTTTCATTATAGATGCATTTCTCACATGTGTGATGAGGATTCTCCACAGTTGCGAAAACAATATTTTAGAGCATGCTGAAGGACAGAGATCTTGCATATATTACTTTTAAGTCCTTCAGGCCATCTTTGCATGGAAGAAATGAATAAAACACAGTGCTGATAAATGAAGGAAAAATGTACGCATTTAATAAATTAACTGTGCTGTGTTTTTCTGTTCCTATTCAGGCAGTCGCCAACTATATTGGCCCCTCAGGGCGCCCCCAGCATTTTAATTCTCTGGTGCAGATGGCACACATTTAGCTATCAAGTGCAGTAAGTGCCACTCATTTATGGCCGTGGCAGTCGGCAGAGGCCAGCTGCGGCCTTCTAAAATGCACTCAGGCTTCTGCCTCCCAGAGGCCCTTCTTAGACAGCCCCTATCTAAAAGGACCACCCCCCGAAACCTGTTGAGTGCATCATGGGCATGATCACATTCTATAATTGCTCTGTGTATGTATTCACTAGGTGCCCATTCCACGTTAGAATATAAATTCTAAGGCAGGGTTGGAGTCTTATTCACTATTTATCCCCTATATTTACCACTATGCCCAGTGATGGTGGGCACTCAATAATATATACTGAATGAATATTTGTCACCTGCCCGCCTGCTTCCAGACATGGAAAGAGGGAACGTTTCTACACAGTCCACACCAGAAAGGAACCCTGAGCACGACCTTTAACTCTGATCTCACCTCATATGAAACAAAACCCTTCTGTGTGTTTTTTTCACATTCTTTAAAAGGTAAAGAAATAGTTGCTGTTATTACAAAAAGTGATCATTTACTCATGACAATCCTCTACAAAATAACACAAGTAATAACGGTATTCATCCTCTTAAAGGAAGTTGGAGGCCTATAGATCTGACCTAACAACCTGAATATAAGAATATGAACCAAGTTTAGTCATAGAATTGGTTCATTTATTTTTGCCAGCCCCCAAATTTTACTGTATTTGTGCATGTCAGTTGACTCAGTATATAAACAAGCATGATAATGACTTCACCCAGAGTTCAGAGTGAGTATTACTCCACCAGAGGAGGCCCAGTCTGGCCCACAGACCCAGTCACGTGACATGCTGCCTGCTCAGTCAAGTTCAGTGCCCGGGTGGTTGTATATGCTCAGACATATTGTGGTTATTATCAAATACAAATCCTTAGACACTTTTCTTATTATCCCAAAGATGCACAAACACCTACTATTGTATTTGTTGTATTAATTCAGGATTTTTAAGCTTTTTAAAGAGAAGAATCCTTTCTTCCAACATAATCTTGGACAAAAGCTTAATGTTTATAGTGGAAGTGAATTGCTTCTCTGAAGTAAAGGAATGGTTGGGAGGTGGGGTGCAGAATCTCCCCAGCTGTACCTCGAGCACCTC